TACGTTTAAAGTTATTATTGAAAGGTACTTGTTTGTAGGCATTTCTGTTTTTGTGTGGCTGTTTTCTTTCTGAGCTTTTTATTTCTTATTTTTATACCAGTCCCTTTAGCATTCCTTGCATTGCTGGCATGGTGGTGATAAACTCCCTTAGCCTTTTTTTGTCTGTGAAGCTTCTTATTTCCCCTTCAAGTTTGAATGATAGCCTTGCTGGATAGAGTATTCTTGGATTCAGTCCTTTGCTTTGCATCACTTTGTAAATTTCCGTCCATTCTTTTCTGGCCTGATGTGTTTCTGTTGAGAAATCATATGACAATCTAATGGGAGATCCCTTGTATGTAACTTTCCGTCTCTCTCTTGCAGCCTGTAAGATTCTCTCTTTGTCCTGAACATTTGCCATGGTAATTATGATGTGTCTTGGTGTGGGTCTTTTTGGGTTCACCTTGTTTGGGACTCTCTGGGCTTGTGTGACTTTTTTCTTCCCCACCTCAGGGAAGTTTTCTGATATTATTTCTTCTAATAGGTTTTCTAATCCTTGTTCATCCTTCTGTTGTTCTGGTACCCCTATTATTCGTATGTTGTTTTGTTTCATGTTGTCCCAAAGCTCCCTTAGGCTCTCCTCCTGTCTTTTCATTTTTTTCTCCAATTGCAGTACGTTTTGGGTGTGTTTTGCTTCCTTGTCTTCTAAATCACTAATTCGGTCCTCCGCTTCTCCTAGTCTACTGTTGATACTTTCAATGGAGTTTTTCATTGCAGCTATATCACTCTTCATTTCTTCTTGGGTCTTACTTAAGTTGTTGACTTTTTCATCTGTTTCTTCTAGCTTCTTCCATATGTTATCGATTTTTTCATCTGTTTCTTCTTGCTTCTTGGAGAGGTTGTCGATTTTTTCCTCCATCCGGTTTATGCACTCTAGGACCCTTATTCTGAATTCTTTTTCTGTCATGTTGCATGCCTCTGTATTACTTAGCTTCTTTTCTGGAGAGTCCTCCTTCTCTTTCCTTTGGGGGTTTCTTTGTCTACCCATGTTTGATCTCGCTGACATATCTAGACGTTGAGTCGTTCAGTGGCTGCTCCCTTGGTGGCAGTGACTCCTTGGTCTGTGGTTGCTCTTCGGGCGGTTGCGGTAGCAGCTGCACTTCAGTTGGCAGCAGCTCCTCTGGTGGGTGCTGTTCACAGCTGTGGTGGCTCTTCTGGCTGGTGGGGCAAGGTTTCACGTACAGCTGCTGTTCCTCAGCAGAGGGTGTGGTGCTCAGGAGGTTGCTGTTGCTTGGATCTGCTGTGTTGATTTAAAGGCACAAAATACAACACAACAAGGCACCACGTACCAGGCACTATACACAAATATATTCACGATATGAATAACCCCAAATAAAGGTGACCACCTGAATTAAGAGAATTAGGGGATAAGGAAGAAGGAAGAGAAAAAGAGAAAAGAGAAAAGAGAAAAGAGAAAAGAGAAAAGAAAATTAGGGACCAAAAAAAGGAGTGCAAAAATGAAATTGGGAAAAAGGAGGGGGGAAAATAAAAGCGAGAAAAGAAAAGAAAAAAAAAAGAGCGAAAAGAGAGAATGAAGTGGAAGAGGGGAAGAGACTTTTTTATATGAGGAGAATACTCCTATAGAACAGCCGTTAATCCCAACAAATTCCAGCAACAGCTCCCTGGAGATGAATGCAAACTAGAAACAACCAATAATATAATGATGAAAATAGAATGGAGAACACTAATCCCAAAATAAAATAAAGAGAAAATAAAATGGCACTTAAAAAAAAATGGTAAAATGGTAGCAGTAATAATACTGGTTAAAAATAAGAAGGTAGTAATTAAAAGGGTAAAATCAGGTGATGGAAAAAAGAAGAAAAAAAAAGAAGAAGAAAAGAAAAAAAAGGGAAAAAAAATTGGTTTCTTAGTTAAAAGGTGAAAAAAGAAAAAAAAAATATTGCAGTAGTGAAGGTCCTTCGGTTCTTCTATTCTTCAGTGTGGCTCGCCTTAGACCTGCCAGGTATTCAGGAGAGTGTTGAGTTTCCCTGCGATACACTGTTCCTCGGTGTTGTAAACCACAGTCCTTATTTTAAAGCAAGCCGCATTTGTTTCCCAGACTGCCTTATTTTGTGTTTAGCAAAGAGTCAGTTTGTGGGTCAGCCTCTGGGTGGCAGTGTTCTGGGGTTGGCCTCTGAGGCTACAGGGCCTCTCTGTCCAGTGGAAGTTCACTGCCCAGAGCTGGCTGCGTAAGAGTTACCAGTGCTGTGTTGTTGCTGGGATTGAAAATCCCTCTATAGGCCAGACCCTGTTAACTCCCAGGGACTGATCAGGTTATTTTAATCCTTGATCTCCTACAGGGTGGAATCTGGGTGTGGCTGTGCTCCTTGCCTGGGGGCTGGGGGGAGGAGTCTCACTCTCTGGAAAGAATGGCTGCCTCAGCCCTGGGCTCAGGGGTGTCTCAGCACTCAATTCGCTGCCACCTCTCCCTGCCCCCCTTCTCTCCTCAGTCTCTCCCCAGATTCCACTCCTCCGCACACTCTCCCTCTCTTCAGCACAGGTGAGTGTCTGTATCCGAAATGTCCCATGAACAGGATTCAGTGAAAACAAACAAACAAACGCCGGCCGCGGAAACGGGGAAGGCTTGGCTTCTGTAAGCTTCTTCTCTTACCGGGACTGCATGGTCTGGTCAGCTCTTCAGGCTGCCCCCTTTAGGCTCAGTCCTCTGTGATCACAGACCGAGCTCTCAATTCCCCCGGCAGCGCCAGGAATCCCGCGGTTCTCCTTTCCCCCGTCAGGGGCTGTGCCTGTCCCAAGGACACGGCTGTCCGCCACGCGGTCTCCCTCCGACTCTCTGGGCTCAGAGGTCTGGCAAACTTTCCTGCCCAAATCCCTGGTTTTTTTACCTTTCCAGGGGAGTTCTGCTCTTCCCGGCTGCAAACCGTCTCGCCAGCTGAGGAATTTCGCCAATTCGGGGTGGATGTTACTAGTTTCAGCTGCTCACTCCATTTGCTCAGGGACACGACCTGGGATGTGTCTGCCTATACCGCCGTCATCTTCTTCTTTTCTAAATTGGTTTCTTTCATTTACTAATGTACACTTAAGCTTGCTCCATGTCTTAATGCAGAACAGTGCATCATCTAGATCAGTGATGGCGAACCTTTTGAGCTTGGCTTGTCAGCATTTTGAAAAACCCTAACTTAACTCTGGTGCCGTGTCACATATAGAAATTTTTTGATATTTGCAACCATAGTAAAACAAAGATTTATATTTTTGATATTTATTTTATATATTTAAATGCCATTTAACAAAGAAAAATCAACCAAAAAAATGAGTTCGCATGTCACCTGTGACACGCCTGTCATAGGTTCGCCATCACTGATCTAGATCTACCACAGTGTACACATTCACCTATTGAAGGAAATCTTGTTTGCTTCCACGTTTTGGCAATCATGAATAAAGCTGATCTAAATATCCATCTGCAGGTTTCTGTGTGAACATACGTTTTCAACTCATTTGGGTAAATACTGGTGCAATTGATGGCTTGTACAACTACTTTTGTAACAAACCACCCAACTGTCTTCCAAAGTGTTTGTACTATTTTTTATTCTCAATAGAGATGGGTGAAAGTTAGTCATTTTATTTCTATCTTTGGCCTCTTAAAGTTGTTTTTGCAAGATTTTCGCTTCCTTTCTCTACTCTTCTAGCACTCTCTATCCTTATGCTGACATGTATCACATTCTTTCATGCTTTGCCAGTGTGAGCCCCTAAGAGCAATGCATAGATATGTCTCCAGCACCTTACCATACTTCACTCAATACCTTGAAAATTAATGGTTCCAATATTTGGTCAATGAATAAAGAAAGTTCAAATTGTGGTGTGTCAGACTGTCAAATGGAGCATTATGTTTTGCAAATCTATACATAATCACAAGGTCTTTTACTAGTCTTGGAATCAAACAATTCACACTGTTACCACTAGTAATATTTCTTTATGTGCTCCTTAGCAATTTTTTTTTTTTGATGGTTAAATACATGGTTGATTCATGTTAAAGGAAATTGCATTTGAAGTTATTGATTCTTTGGCCCAGCTTTTCAGCTGGAAGAAACAAAGCGCTTGCTGTAATAAGTTCTGAACCTTTTAAAAACAATATCTAATGAGGTTTGTATGTGCCTTTGACATTTTATTTTCAACCAGAGGGAAGGTCAGAAATGAAAGGGCACAACTGTGCTTTTATACGGTAAATAAACAATGCTATTATTTGTCAAAGAAAATGAAATATTGCTCACTCCTTCTTGGTTTCTTACTATCTGAAAATGAGTTTGCGATGCCTAATTTTGGTAATTAAATCATGTTGTCCTTGCATGTACTAGAATTTGGAATTTAAAAAGGGAGTACACTTAGTTTATACAGCAGGGACTAATGTAAATTGTGCTTTTTGTTAAAACTCAGGTATTGCATTATTTGAGTTTTTATATTTAACTCTTAAATCAACTTATTATTTGTTGGCTGGTATTTATTTGGTGGAACTTGGTATTATTCTGTTAATTTGATGAACTTTCTTCTTAGATTGGAAGTTTTCTTAATATATATTCAGTGTCCTCAACTCTCTCATATTTGGTATTTATAATACTGTAAATGTATCATTAAAGAGAATATGTTAAAGTGATTTTGGAAAGTAATTGCCTGGATTATGAACAGTGAAAAATATGCCCTTAGAAGCATGATACATAATGGGAATTTTAAGGACTTTCTTTTCATACTATATATCAATACCTAACAAGGGGTTGATCTATTAAATTTGTACTAGATCAAGACAATTTTAATGTTAAAAATAATTTTATATGTTGAAAGATATTATGAAACAGACAAGCTTCAAATGCCAAAACCCATGTATAAATGATCATTTTATATTGTCATCTATTTAACATATTTTTGAAACAAAGTATTTCAACTTTTATGATTCATTCATTTTAAAAATTAACATGCAATAAGTGCCTAATCTGAAATTTACTTCATTTTAGATGAACTTACAAATTCATCAGAAACCAGATTGTCCTTGGAAGACCTCTTCAGGGAGGACTTTGTGCTGCATGATCCTGAAGCCCGATGGATCAATGGTATGTGTGTGCCTTTTATGTGTGATATTTATTGAGTTTTATATAATTACAGTCTAAGCCAGTGGTTCTTAACCTGTGGGTCGCAACCCCTTTGGGGGTCAAATGACCCTTTCACAGGGGTCTCCTAAGACCATCGGAAAACACGTATATAATTGCATATTGTTTTTGTGATTAATCACTATGCTTTAATTATGTTCAATTTGTAACAATGAAAATACATCCTGCATATCAGATACTTACATTAGGATTCATAACAGTAGCAAAATTACAGTTATGAAGTAGCAACGAAAATAATTTTATGGTTGGGGTCACCGCAACATGAGGAACTGTATTAAAGGGTCGCGGCATTAGGAAGGTTGAGAACCACTGGTCTAAGGAAATAATGCTATTTGAAGTTAGTATTTGAATCGACATCATTCTTCAAAGATTGCATAAACTTTTTAATCAGTATCTTGGCTCATGTGAGGAAACCAATTCCTAAGATAGGTCATCAATAGAAATATCCTCCACACGTTAGATCAATTGTTTGGTACCTGTGGTTCCCTCATGGTCATTATTAGCCATGTCACTTTAAATGGGTTACAGCTCCAGCATTTCTCTAGGTTACTCTTCTTGGTGTAAAGGATGGATTTTGAGAGACTGCATACGTATATGCTGCAAATGTGGCTAACAAATTCGTTTCTTTTCCTTCTGGTGGCTTTTCTTTTTAAAGTGCCGCAAACTAGGGAGACTCTTTCCAAACTTGAAACGACTGAGAAATCACATGGGAATATATTGCACTTTGTCTTTTTCTGCCCTGGCAAAGAAACCATCTCAGCTTTCCTTAGTAATTTCAGATTTTATTATTTTCAAGGAGTTTAAAAGAGCATTTAGATTGTAAAAGAAACAACCAAAAGTAAAATCCCTGAGTGGTTCCATGGTTTCTCTTTATGGCAGGTGATGGGGAAAGTGAGTGGATTATCCAGTCAAAAGAAATGTGTTGGCGAATATTCCGATTTGCCTGACCATACTAATCTCTGTGGTCAGAACGCAGTTTATCTTTGCCCTTCAATTTATTTAGACATAATATCTTTGCTTGTTTTCAAGGCATAGAGTAGATTATTTTATGATAAATAAAATAAGCTTTGCCCTTTATCTAATAACAATTATCTCACTTATAGTCCTTTCTTCTCTAATATTCTAATTAAGTGCTTGTATACCTGAAAAGTAAATGGTAATTTTGGGGAACTATAAAATGAAGGGAAGTTAATTCATGAGGGCAGAGGCCAAATCATGCTGTTTGGTTAGCATTAATACAGTTCCTGGAGGTCACCTGGCACTCAAGACATGTCTTTGAATAAATGAATGCATTTCATTGAAGTTCTGTGTTATTTTTCAAGAAACTAAGTTTCAATTGAAATCAGTTGGAAGACGAGTGTGTATCATGGCGATGGTATTATGCAGTGATTTTCAACTGGTGTGCTACAAGAATTTTTAAAACATGCAGTCCCTGACTATTCAGTCAGCGGCTCTGACCTCTTTTTCCTTAGATTATCAAATTAAGAAATGACAACAGCCAACACAGCACTAGCCATCCTGGGTGAATAAATCAAAATATGCCTATATTTTTGTGATATCAGCAAAAAATATATTTTTTGGTGTGCTGCAGAATTGTTTAAATACTTTATGATGAAAAAGGTTGAAAATTGTTGCTATTATAAATAAAAATAATTTGCCGAAACCAATTTGGCTCAGTGGATAGAGCGTTGGCCTGCGAACTGAAAGGTCCCAGGTTCCATTCCGGTCAAGGGCATGTACCTGGGTTGCGGGCACATCCCCAGAGGGAGATGTGCAGGAGGCAGCTGATCGATGTTTCTCTCTCATCGATGTTCCTAACTCTCTACCTCTCTCCCTTCCTCTCTGTAAAAAATCAATAAAATATATTTTAAAAATAAATAAATAAATAAATAATTTAATTAATTTATTTGTATATTTTTATTTGAAATGTTTACAAATTAAGGACTTGCCATAGTGTTGCCTTTGCACAATGATTATTTCAGATGAGCACTGTAACTAAAGGAGACTAATAAAAATGAGGTATCATTACCAAACATTGTCCTAATACACAGATTTCTCACACATCATTCTCCTAATGTGCTATGGTGATTCTGCAAGTCATCTTTTTATTTGCTAACACTTATTTTCTATTAAAGAAGAGGACAACAACATTGTGAAAAAATGCATTATTAGATTTGAATTGCTAAATGATATTCTGTTTTAGTCACCAAGATTTTGGAAAAGCGTTAGAAATCTGCGGTCTTTGACTTTGGAAAGCAAGCACAAATCTTGGGCCTTATCTCCCTTCTCAGGTTAGCTTGGATTATTTAAAGAGACACTCACGCCTGTGTATAACTGATACTTTGATATTGAAATGCCAAAGGACTGGATGGATATTTAAGCAGTGAACTGCATGCTAAATTAAGCCATTTCATTATCTAGGGCACACATTCTAACATTCTCCTTTAACTCTTCACGAGAAACCAAAATCATATATTTGGAGTTAATCATTTTAAGCTTAAAAAATAATTTCATTCTTAACTATTGGTAAACCTAATCCTGAGAAACATCCTGGGACAAAGCTGCAGTGTTATCATTATATTCTAGCTGAAATGTAGGCTATAATATTTATTTTGAAATTTGAGATAAAAACAACCCTTTCACCCAGCTGATGTGGCTCAGTATTGTAGTGTCGGCCTATGAACCAGGAGATCACAGGTTCGATTCCTGGTCAGGGCATTTGCCTGGGCTATGGGCTCAATCCCCAGTAGGGGGTGTGCAGGAGGCAGCAGGTCAATGATTCTCGCCCTCTCCCTTTCTCTCTGAAAACAATAAAAATATTTTAGAAACAAACCTTTAAACAGGCTTAAGCTCTCAGAGGCTTTGTAAATACCACTGAAGAAATCGACTCGCTGCCAGTAGACTGTGTGCACTGTGCTGCTTTCCCAGTGAGAGTGTAGATTTGTGCTTCTTCATTCCTCTTATCCAACCCAGATCGCTTTCCTAGCAGTCACTAGATACTTGGCCTACTTACTGGTTCCTCACATGGCCAGGAAACACAGTGGGAACTATATGAATAGAATGTGTAACCTTGGCCTCATTCTCACAGATTGTATCTAAATATAAAATTTGAATTTTTTCTTTACTCTCATGAGGTGTCTCACCAGGCTTTCTTAGTATGCACGTCTCTTGAAGAGGCCTAAGTTAAGCTCATTTGGAAGTTTCATTTAGTCTTGGAGGTCACCACAGGTAGATGGGAGTGCAGCAATGTCATTTCTTATACTGGTTCCCAAATAAAATAACTGAATGTCATTGCAGCCTTTGACGGGTACTCATGTTCATGGTTAGCTTAACATCTGCCTTCCCCCACATCTACTCATAAGCTTGAATCTACATTTTTATAGCATCTTTTTTTCTAGTTGTGTCACCTTGAAACCTAGAAAGCCATCTTCCTTAAAATTATTCATCTCCCCACATACATTTTTATTGAATTTATTGGGGTGACATTGGTTCACAAAACCATATAGGTTTCAAGTTTACAACTTAACAAAACATCATCTGCACACTGCATCATGCGCCTAACACCCAAAGCAAAATCATTTTTTCCCCATTTATCTTCCCTTTGCCAACTTCCACCTACCCCCATCTACTGCATATGTATGCATGAGTTTGCTGCATCATTTTACCTGCTTCCATCCAGCCCCCCAATCCCCTTACTTCTGACAGCTGTCAGTCTGTTCCATGTATCTACGCCTCTGTTTCTATTTTGTTTGTCAGTTTATTTTGTTTATTAGATTTCACATATAATTGAAATCATATGGTATTTGTCTTTCTCTTTCTGATTTATTTCGCTTAGCCTATATTTAAATTATTGTTTGAAATTTAAATCATTTTCTTTAAGGAAATGTTTTTAAGATTCCAGCTTGCCTTAAAATGATTATATTTATAGTAAACACCAAATAGAGTAGGGAAAAGTACTTACCCATAAAATTGAGTGTGTGAAAGAAAACTATATTTTGATTTTTGAAATTAAGAATTAAGTAAGTATATAAAAGTGTATATATACTTTTATACTTTTAGACACAGACAACAGTGTGGTGATAGGCACAGGAACACGGGGTTGGGGGTAGGTGGAGCTGGGCAAAGGAAGGGAAAATGGGGATGTAAAGAGAATTTGCTCGATGCAGTGTGCAGATGATGTTAGGTTGAGTTGTACACTTGAAACCTGCATGGTTTTGTGAACCAATGCCACCCCAATACATTCAATTAAAAATCAACTGACAAAAAAAAAAAATAAATTCATTTTTAACTTATAATAAAGAAAAAAAGTCTGAGAGAGATGAAAGAGTTATGCTTCGAGTTCATCAAGAATTACTGAGTTCCAGCTACAATACAGAGTTTTGTATATTTTAAGTGGAAATATGTTACCATTTGAAAGATTTGTAGTAAAATAAATGGTGTTTTCATAGCTGTAATAAGTTGTACAAAATTATGGTTGGTCTGTTTTTGTTGGCCCAGGACCTGGGTTTGTCAGCACAAATGTAGATTCAAGAGACACTTGACATTGACATCTATTTTTCCATCTACGTGTTCACCTATCTTTTATTCAACATGTGCTTATTGAACATAGCGAAAATATTCTAGATAAGATGAATAGATGCAGTTCTTTCATTAAAGGGAATTATGAATATAAAGGTTCTTCCCTCGTTGTGTACAGTATTTTTATGCATATCTATGGGTTAAAGGAGTGAATTAGTAATCAAAGGCTGTGATGGCACAGGAAGTAGAATTTAAGTAGAGAGGTGCAAAACATATTGAATCAAGACTACAATGAGATTTGATCAACTTTCTTTTCCCCAGAATCAAAAATACATTCCATCTCCCTTATCTCTCTCTTCACACTTGCACATTTTGTTCATTGAACTTCTTTTTATTATGTTTGCTTCTTTTTATTTGATACATTC